CTCAGTGGGGAGCCTGCTTCTCCCTCTCCCTCTGCCCCTGCCGCTGCTTGTGCTCTCTCTCTCCCAAATACATAAATAAAATCTTTAAAAAAAAAGGTGTCAGGTGATGCCTCGACGGTCTTCATGTGTTAGAAGGGCCGAGGATGAAGGTTCAGAGGCCACTCCTGGTAGACTCCAGAAGCCAGGCCCAGGAGGAGAAGACAGCAGTGCGGATATAAGGCCAGACTTCCAAATGGGACAGCTGCAGGTCCCCCTTTGACTCATGGACACCTGAGCACTTCCAGGCCCAAGGAATAAGGGGCTCACACTGGGGTCCACCAATAATGGACCAGGTTGCTTTGTCATGTAGTGAGATCCCCGTCATCCCAGATCCAATGTTGTAATTGTCTGTTTACACATCTGTGTCCCTCGAGTATCTGAGTTCGTGATGGGAGGGACAGCGACTGTTTTGTTTGGTACAGTGGTTGGTATCCACTGGGTGCTCAATGGATGCTCACTGAATGAAAAGTTGCATGCATTAGTGAATGGGCAGATGCCACCCATCACGAAGAAGCCCTGACTTCGGACTCAGAAGGCAGCCTTCAAATCTTAGTAGTGTGGCTTGAATGCAAGGATTCCCCTATCGTGCCCCCAGATTGTTGACTGTAAAATGGGAAGAACAAGAGCTCCTACCTCCAGAGATGGAAGAGGAGATCCCAGACCGTTAGTTAAACACTGGCGCAGGGTAAGGGTGCCAAGAAACGGACACACCAACTCTCCTGGATCTTTTAAGAGAGAACAACAGAAAAACAGTTGGCATGCAGCCTGCAGAGGGAATTCCAACACTGGGTGAGATTGTTTTCCAGGATCCCTGAGATCACAGCGAAGTTTCGGGCCAGAGCTGTTTTTTGTTTATTTGTTTGTTTGTTTGTTTCTGAAAATTCTCTCTCACTCCTGTGGTCAAAGATGAGGTCGTGGTTTCCGATATCATGAAATCCCCACCAGACTCAGCAAGGAGCATCTGCTGAGATGGCAAGAAAACCCTTCCAAGCATGCAGAGGTCCTGGTTGAAGACAGCACCTGTCATTCAGCCTGGCCACTTGTCCTAGGGTCCTCCGGGTTCTCCTTTTACAATCACAGCATCCCTCCATTTTCTTAAGAACAGTTTTTTCCTGGGGCGCCTGGGTGGCGCAGTCGCTCAAGTGACCAACTCTTGGTTTTGGCTCAGGTCTTGATCTCAGGGTCGTGGGGTTGAGCCCCAAGTTGCTCAAAAGCTCACCAACACTGGTGTTTTTATGGCTTTCATTCTGGTCATTTTTCTCTACAGAATAGGTATCTGCTCTGCTTTTTCAAAAGTTATGATTGTTCTGAAAAGCCAACTTTGGAATCTGCTGTGTTGGGATAGTTTTTCCACACCATTGAGCTTCCAAGGCTGTGATGGATTCTACATTTTAACATAAGAAAGACTATGTATATATACTCATGGGCAGAGAGCTGGACAGCTGTCCTGCAACCAAAACATCTATGTGGTGGTTAAGATTGAGACCCTGGGATCAAAGTCTGAGTTTCACCATCTTCTATCTGTGACATTGGCCAGGTGTTTTAACTTTCATGCCTCAGTTTATCCACCTGTAAAATGGGGATTTATTATTTCATTTATCTCAAAACAACCCTGGGCCCCCCAGTGAATAAATAGCAGAGAAGAGATTTCCATGTCCTTCTTAAAAGATTTTATTTATTTATTTGAGAGAGAGAGAGCAAGCACTAGCGGGGGGGGGGGGGCAGAGGGAGAGGGAGAAGCAGACTCCCTCCTGAGCATGGAGCCCCACATGGGGCTGGATTCCAGGACCCTGGGATCATGATGGGGGGCAGCAGGGGGAGAGAATCTCAAGCAGACTCTCTGCTAAGCACGGAGCCCAATACGGGGCTCCATCTCACGACCCTGATACCTGACAGGAACCAAAATCAAGAGTTGGATGCTTAACCGACTGAGCCACCCAGGTACCCTGAGATTTCCATGTTCTTAAGGAACATACCACGCTGCCTTCCCAGCAAGTTATAAAAATCACACCTATGGTACTATATTTTTTTTATGGTACTATATTTTTTACGTAAAGTTACAAAACATGCTTGCAGTGTTGTCTGCTTTGTCATGATTCATTTGTCGCATTTAGCAGGCATATGTGTTTTATGTAGTTTTCTGCATTTGTGTTCTCTTTCCTCATTTTAAAAAAGACTTAAAAAGGGGCACCTGGGTGGCTCAGTTGTTAGGCATCTGCCTTCAGCTCGGGTCATGATCCCAGAGTCCTGGGATCGAGCCCCACATCGGGCTCCCTGCTCCACGGGAAACCTGCTTCTCCCTCTCCCACTCCCCCTGCTTGTGTTCCCTCTCTCGCTGTGCCTCTCTCTGTCAAATAAATAAATAAAATTTAAAAAAAAGAAAAAAAGAGGCACCTTCTCTAAAAAATAAAAATAAAAATAAAAAAGACTTAAAAAATAAACGTCAGATTGTGCAAATGGGTTTGGAGCAAAAAACAGATGCCACCACCAGTGTTTTCTTTTTTTTTAAATATTTATTTATTTATTTATTTATTTATTTATTTATTTATTTATTTATTTATTTATTTTGGGGGGTAGGGGCAGAGGGAGAAGGAGAGAGAGAATCCCAAGCAGACTCCCTGCTGAGCGTGGATCCAGATGCGGGGCTCAATCTCACGACCCATGAGATCATGAACCAAGCCAAAATCACGAGTGAGACACTTAAGTGACTGAGCTACTCAGGCACCCCTTCTTTTTTTTTTTAATTAATAGAGTTTATTTTTTTTAAGTTTTAGGCTTGAAGAATTGAATGTAAAGTACAGAGAGTTACCATACATCTCCTCTCCCTCCCACCTACAGCTTGTCCTATTATTAACATCTTGCATTTGTGATCAATTTGTTACAACTGATGGACCAGTATTGATAAATGAAGGTAAAACGATGTCACTGTAAATGGACCCTGATCCAACATGACTGGTGTCTTTATAAGAAGGATTAAGAGGAGCCCCTGAGTGGTTCAGTCGATTAGGTGTCTCACTTCGGTTCAGGTCATGATCTCAGGGTCTTGGGATCAAGCCCCATGTCCTGCTCTCCGCTCAGCGGGGAGTCTCCTAGTCCCTCTCCCTCTAACCCTCCCCCCACTCATGCTCTCTCCCTCTCTCTCAAATAAATAAATAAAATCTTTTAAAAAAACCCGCCACACATCTTCTAAAATATAAGGAAGGAGACCAGGCAGGGGAGAAATGAATTAGGACTATCTTAACACACCCTAAGCTCTATTATTAGGCAAATATTGGAGTAGTTCTCCTATTTCTACAATAATATTTAAATGTTTTCCTAATGGCTCTGTAGCTTCCCTTCAAGAGCGGCTTTTCACTGTTTTCTAGAACCTCTGAACTATTACTGACAGATTGCACTAGTTTTCTCTATTTTTTTTTTTGGCCAAATATCTGACATTTGTAATTCGCCGGATGCCTGCACAATTATATTTCTTCGCACCGATTCAGTTGGTGTGGGTTAGGGGGACTTGGAGGCTGCGTCACAGACGCACTCCATTTCCTCCCACTGACGGTCAGACCGGCGGTCTGGGGCACCGAGGCGGAGTTGGCCGGGGCTGGCTGGGAAACTCGAATAGGGGCTCACGCAGGGCCGCGCTTTCACTGATGGCCGCCAGGGGGCGCGAGAGGCCTAGACCGGCGCCTGGTCCCCGCAGAGAAGCCGGGACGGGGGCGGGGCTGCCGCGGGGGCGGGGCTTGGAGGAGGTACCTCACAGCCTCAGTCAAAGGGTCCTAAGTTCCTCTGGCCATCGCGCGCGGTGTGCTCTCTTTCAGCCTGCACTGGGCCTCCCGTCCTCTCCGCCCTTGTTTGTCCTTCATTTTCCCCGCCCTCTTTGAGCTACACCTCCCCCGTCCTCGCGCCAACACTCTCCTGTCCACCTTTGCCCACATTTTCACGCCCTCGTTGGCATCCCTGCATTTTCCCATGCTCCCTTGCACCCCCATTTTCTCACCCTCTTGTGCTTCCCCATTATGAGGCCCTCTGCCCCGGCTCTTAGGCTTCCTTACTTCAAATGACCTTTTGGAGAAAGTCATGGAAGGATACACTCCTGGATGTGAATGTGACCCGCAGTCCAGGGAGTAGATGGTCACTCCTATGTGAACATTTTTAGTTCCACATGTTTCAAGAAGCAATTTGACAAACATTCCTTAAATTAATTCAAATGTGTGTGTGTGGGGGGGGTCTCTGCCCACGTGCACAATTTTTGCTCTGAAATGCCTGCTGTGCTCGTCTCATCAAGGCCTGCTGATCAGTGGCACATGGGCTCAAGGAAAGTTGCTTCACCTGCTATGGCTGAGCAGGCCTCAGAGGGAGAAAGAAAAGGTTTTGGCGGGAGTGGGGAGTGGGGCTGGAGTGGGGAGGGTGGAGGGCTGTCAGAGGTTCCCACCTTCACCTCACTCTTGGAGCTTCAAAGCCCAGCCTCGACCTTGCTTCCTGTGTCACCCGGGGCAGTTACCTAGGCCTCTGAGCCCTGTGAGAAGGATGAGGTTGAGTCAAGTGAGCTAATGTGGAGGCAGAGGCTTGGGGGACCTGATGGCTTGTAGCTAGATCCTGCTTCCTGGAGCTTCTTCATTCATTCATTCCACACCCGTTTCTTTTTTTTTTTTTTAAGATTTTATCTATTTGACAGAGAGAGACACAGCGAGAGAGGGAACACAAACAGGGGGAGTGGGAGAAGCAGGCTTCCCGCCGAGCAGGGAGCCCGATGTGGGACTCGATCCCAGGACCCTGGGATCATGACCTGAGCCGAAGGCAGACGCTTAATGACTGAGCCACCCAGGTGCCCCTCCACACCCGTTTCTTGAGCACCAAGTCAGCCTTGGTGCCCCCGACCCTAGACCTATACCATCTGGGGAAACAGTAGCCCTGAAGCTTATTTAGGAAGATGCTGACTAAAATGGCCGGAGCACCCCAGTCTGGCCGACATGGATGACATGCACACTCCGTATTCTTCCCTGAAGAGACTGTTATCTTTCTTCAATGGCTTCGTGGTTGGAAGTATGTCACCACCCAGGCCCTGGGGCTTTTCAGCCCTTCCTCCATAGCTGGCTCCCTCAAAGACAGAAATAAGTTGATCCAAATTCACTGGCATCCAGATCGGTGGTCCCCAGGGAAGCAGGAAGGATGTAGGGCAGACTGACGAGGAGCAGGACACATTGAGAACAGGTGTAGGCTCTATCGACTCAGAGTCAGTGAAATCAAGCACAGAGGCTGTGATGGGGGCACTGGGGAGGAGGGGGGGTTGGGGCCGGTGTTGGTGGCAGAAAAGCTTGACTGTAAGTCAAATCCTGCAGAACACTAAGTTGTTTGGGAAGGACAAAAGGGAGTGGTTATTTTTCTGGGTCCTTTAAATTCTTCAAAATACTTTTTTTTCTTACTATAAAAGTGACCCAAAATGTGCATCGTTAAGAAGCAATTGTTTTGGGGTGCCTCGGTGGCGCAGTCGGTTAAGCAGCCAACTCTTGGCTTTGGCTTGATCTCCAGGTGGTGAGATCGAGCCCCGCCCCCCGTTGGGCTCAGTGCAGAGTCTGCTTGGGATTCTCTTTCTCTCCCTCTGCTCCTCCCCCTCTCTCAAAATAAATCTCCTTTTTTTTCTTTTTTAAAGATTTTATTTGGGGGCGCCTGGGTGGCTCAGACGGTTAATAAGCGTCTGCCTTCGGCTCAGGTCATGATCCCAGGGTCCTGGGATCCAGCCCCGCATCGGACTCCCTGCTCAGTGGGAAACTCCTTCTTCTCCCTCTCCCACTCCCCCTGCTTGTGCCCTCTCCCTCACTGTCTACAAATAAATAAATAAAATCTTTTAAGAAATAAAAATAAAAAAATAAGCAATTGTTTTGATAGCCAAATGGCATTAAGAAAAGGTTGCCAGGAAAAAGAAGGATATTAAATATCACTCCTCATCTTGTTACCTGTGTTGTAACATTTTCATGGAAATTAAATGATACAGAACATTTAAAGAGCTTATGCCTATCATGGGAACATTGCTCAATAAATACCATCCCCATTTTTATATCCTTCCAGATTTTCCTGTTTACTTTTTTTTTTTTTTAAAATTTTATTTATATATGAGAGAGAGAGAAAAAGAGAGAGAGAGCACAAGAGGGAAGAGGGTCCGAGGGAGAAGCAGACTCCCTGCCGAGCAGGGAGCCCGATGTGGGACTCGATCCCGGGACTCCAGGATCATGACCTGAGCCAAAGGCAGTTGCTTAACCAACTGAGCCACCCAGGCGTCCCCTGTTTACTTTTTAAAAACAGCAAAACAAACACAGGAAAGCTATTGCTTTACAATCCACTTTCCCCCCTTGAAAATATTTAATTTCCCCTCCTTTTGGATAGACTTTATTTTTTAGAGCAGTTTTAGGTTCACAGCAAAATTGAGCAGAAGGTACTGAGATTTCCCATATACCCCCGCTCCACACACACACAGCCTTCCTCATCAGAACATTCCCACCGGAGCAGTATATTTGCTACAACGGATGAACTTACATGGACATTATCATCACCCAGAATGCACAGTTTACATTAGGGTTCACTCTTGGTGTTGTACATTCTATGGCTTTTGACAATGTATCCACCATTTTAGTATTATTATATGGAGTAGTTTCACCGCCCTAAAAATCTCTGTGCTCCACCTGTCTTCCCTACCTCCCCACTAACCCCTGGCAACCACTAGTCCTTCTACTGTCTCCATAGTTTTGCCTTTTCCGGGATGACATATACTTGGAATCATGCACTGTGTAGCCTTTTCAGATTGGCTTCTTTCACTCAGCAATATGATTGTGAGTTTCCTTCATATCTTTTCATGGCTTAATGGCTCATTTTTTTTTTAGTGCTAATCTTCCACTGAATGTACCACAGTTTATCCATTCACCTGCTGAAGGCTCTCTTGGTTGCTTTCAAGTTTTGGCGACTATGAGCTTCTAGAAACATCCATGTGCAGGTTTTTGTGCAAACATTAGTTTTCAGCTCAGTTGTATAAATACCAAAGAACATGACTACCATATCAATAAACATTCTCCTCCTACAATAAGGATCAGCCAACTACAGCCTTGTAAATAGATAGATATTATTTATTTGTAAATAAAATATATTGTTTATGAATTGCACATGGCTGCTTTTGAGCTACGCTGACAGAGCTGAATTGTTTCAGCAGAGGCCTTATGGCCTGCAAAGCTCACAATATCTGGGGCTTTTCACATACACAAAAATTGCCAACCCTTGTCCTAGAGCATTATTTAAAATAACTGTCTAGAGTCCCATTGTATGGCTGTCCCATGATTTACCTACCCAATCTGCATTATTGATTGCTTCAGGTAGTTTTATCCCTGAGCATTCTGATACTGAGGTATGTATGTGTGTGTCTATTAGCATATCAGATATTAGACTGAATAACTACAAATGTAATTTCTAGGTAAAGGGTTTTACTGTAAAACCTTTAAGATTTTAAATATGAATTGCAAAGTGTCCTTCTGCACACCCTCTCCCTCAAAAAAGCTTGTTGCCTGGCAACAATATGTGAGAATGTCTCTCCACATCCTCACTAACTCCGGGTATTAACATTTTTTAATGTTTTTGCTGATTTTATTTGCCTTTGCTCTTCCCCTCCCACCCCCCACCCCCCAGCGAGAGTTCTATTTGTATACAACTAACAGACTGTTTTTCCCTGTCTGATTTTTGTCCTAAAGATGTCTGGTGTGATCCCCATTGGCCTGGGCATCTATGTTAAGTTCAGAGGGGCTGTCCTGACAAGGGTCCTTGGGCTGGCCTCTGCATATCTCCTTCACACTGGCTATCTGTGCCTGGCAATGGGCTGCATCATGGTGCTGCTTGGCTTTGCTGGGTGGTATGGAGCAAGCAAATAAAGCAGAGGTACTCTCTTGTTTGTAAGTTGGATCTGCACATATCCCCCAAAACTCCCACCCCACCTTCCTTGCACCTATTACAAACCCCTGCCATCAGCATCCCCTATTTTTCAGTGTTTGTGGTGTCTCATATGATGGCATCAGATGCATCCATCTTTTCCTTTATGATATATCTCGGTTAGAACTCCTCTCCTACCCCAGGCCATACATTCTAGTCTCTTAGGTTTTCTTCCCATAATTTTAAGTTCTTGATTTCTCCCTTTTAGCTCTTTGGCTTTCGGGAGTTTGATTAGGTGTGTGTGGTGTGAGGTAGGGGTCAGTCCTCTTCTGCCTACACTAATCTCCATTATGCTTGGGTCTTTCCTGGGCACACTGCTCTGTTCCATCAGCCCATGGGTATGTTCCCACTAACACAATACCGTTGTTATCCTCATGTTTGCCAAGTACATGTTCAAGAACATGAGGTAGGAAAGTTTTAAGCATGATCATGCAGACAGCATGTTGTAGATTTTACATGTCTTGCTCATTCTCACATATAGCCTTGGCTGACTCCCCAAAGGCCGGCTCTCATCCTCCCCACTCCCATTTCCCTTAGAATCTTGTCTGAGTGGGGTGCCTGGGTGGCTCAGTTGGTTAAGCGACTGCCTTCGGCTCAGGTCATGATCCTGGAGTCCCAGGATCGAGTCCCACATCGGGCTTCCTGCTCAGCAGGGAGTCTGCTTCTCCCTCTGACCCTCTTCCCTCTCGTGCTTTCTATCTCTCATTCTCTCTCTCTCTCAAATAAATAAATAAAATCTTTAAAAAAAAAAAAAGAATCTTGTCTGAGTGGACTAGCCCACCTTAGGTAAAATTTGTCTCCAGCGTTTTTTGTTTTCCTTCCTTCACTGTGTTGTTGCAAAACTCTGGTTATTTCAATTTGGGGGTTTCAGGGAGATCCTTAGTAGGGTCATCTTTCAGAGCATAAACAATCTCCATTGTTAAAAAGCACCCCGCCCCCACCCTCCTGCTCCTTGAAACTCTATTATCTCATTTTCTTTCTTGATTACTCCATTCAGCAAATATCTATTGGACATGTCCTGTTCCAAAATAGTCCATTTTATTTTCAATATGATCTGGATGCTATTTTATTCATAGTTTAGCTTGGAGGAATCAAAGAGCCCTCACACCCTACATCCAACCCATCAGCAAATCAGATTAACTTTGCCCTTCGCGTCTGTCCCTCCAAAGCCTCTGCGACCTCACTCAGAAAAGCAAAATCATTTTTTATGGTGTCGGGAGCCATAGAGGATTCTGAGCAGAGGAGGGATGTGCCCTGACTCAGGTGCTCCCAAGCGCCCTCTGGTGGTCATTAGGGGAACAGAGTGTGGGGGACGAGGGCCTGACTGAGAGTCCAGGGTGGAGGGACTGTGCTGGTCCAGGTGGGAGACAGTGGGGGCTGGGCCAGGTGAGGCTGTGGAAGGGGGAAGAAGTGGGCAGATTAGGGATAGATTCTGAAGATGGAACCTGTAGGACATACGGACACCTGGATATCTATCCTCCAGCCACCTCAGTCACCCAGAGGCAGGGAGGTAGTAATATTAATATTAATCCCCACAATCTGTTACATGAGCCACTTGTCTGGGGTCCCACAACCGCTAAGCCCTGCTCCCATGTGTCCTTGTGGGTTCTGGGGTCCCGGGGTGTGTATCCACTGTGTTTTCCTGCCTTTCCATATCAGGACTAGATAAGTCCAGCCATGGGCCGGGCTGGCAACTCAAAGCCTCAATTAGCAAACAGATTTTAGTAATCATAATCAAATAGATGAAAGGAGAGCCAGGAGCTGACCTACTTTGCCCCCATCTGGCTTCCAGAGGCTCTCCAGAACTTACAGACACCCCTTGAGCTGGTCCCATGCCCACATTGTATCTATGGGGAAACTGAGGCCTAGACTGAGCAGCAGTTTCTCCTTGATGGGTGACTTCAAGACATCCCCTCTGCTTGCTGTCTTTCTCATCGTTTTCCATTGGGCTTGTGAATTTTGTCTGAAACATAGGCCAGCAAACATAAGCCCCCCACCACTACCACCAACCCTGCAGCCACCGACCTGTCACCCTGCATCTTCCCTACAGCCCCCTCCCTCCTTCCCCCATTTGCAAGAGTTCTCGGCCTGCTTCTCACCCCAGCCCCCTCCCACCTCCTGCCTCTTTCTGTGTTCTGTCCTTCCCATCATTCCTCCTGTTTCCCCACAGACTCCTGCTGTCGATGCACAGAGCCTTTCCTGACCTAGAGGTCCCCTCCAGGTCTCCCAGGCGCTCAGAAAGTGCTGGGCTCCAGCTGGTGGCTCCAAGAATACCTCAGTGCCAACATCCTGGACGACATGCAGGAAAACGCCACGTGAAAGAAAGAAGCCCCACGCCCCACCCAAGGCTGAGTTCTTTCAAACTGATGAGGTTCCATGGCCCAGGGGTGGGGGGAGGGACAGTCCCCACCCCTGCAGGGACACAGCTGAGCAGGCTCTCAGCCCCTTCCGACCCCTCTGTGTCTTCCAGTGTTTCCTGTCCACGGTTATCATCGTCATTGCTGAAATCATAGTCACCGCCGTGGTCCTTGCCTTATTCCACATTTTAAGTACTATGCTGTTGCTCCCACTCGACATTAGAAAGAACTCGAAATCGCGAGAAGCACCGCCCCTCCCCCCGGGAGCCGCCCACCTGGTGATACACCTGGCCCATGGGTCCCTGGGGCTGGAGATGGGGTCTCCAGAAATGGGGTGAAGAACCAAAAACCTCAGCCGTCCCCTCGAAGGCCTCAAGAGACTGGCCGAGTTAATTTCATTCACCATCTCCCTTGCGTTTTTGGTGGTGAGGTGTTAAGAAGTAATGGGCAAAGCTGCAAAAGCTGTTGGGGTTTTGAAATGTGTCAGAAACAGACGGCTATTTAGCCAGATCTGTCAAAATGACAAAGCATGGATGCTTCGACCCAGCTCTCCCATCCCTAGGAATCATCCAAGGATTTGCTTGCTCGGGTGCAGAAGGACGTATACACGGAGGTGTGCAAAAGATTGTAAGCATCAGTAGGAGGGTGGTTCATTTATAATAATGCTCACCGTTTATTTGAGAGGGGATCCCAAGAGGGACCAGGAGGGGACAGGGGAAAAGGGCGACCCTGCAGGCAGCTGGGCTCAGTGCCGGGGTGGGGGGGCATCTGGGAGCAGCAACGAATGCGTGTCTTGTTTTGCCACTCGAGGGGCAAGGGAGCTGCGATATTGATCCACCTCCCATCAGCATTGCTTGAGGGCTGCTCGCAGGGCACATGTGGGCTGAGAGGCCACAGAGAGCCCTCGGTTACTGGCAGTGGGAAGCCAGGCCAGTGTGCACAGAAATGACAAACGCCACTGGGATGTGCTCAGGGCACCAAGGGCGACTGTTACTCTTGCTAACAACAGCCCATATGCAGAACGATGAGAACAGTATAAAGCAGGGAGAAGAATAATGGAACTATGCTTTGCTTTGACACACATCGAGTATCTCTTTTGGGACACAGGAAACAGTCACCGTCACCGTAGTGGAGTGGGAGGAACTTGTTGGCTGGGAGAAAAAGGTGGGAGGGAGGCTTTTCGTGGTCTACCCTTCTGGGCTTTGTGAATTTTGAACCATGTGACTATTTCACCTCAGCCAGAAAACTTTTTTATTTAGGCCTTGATTTAAAAAATAGAAAATGAAATTTGCCCCTTTTGTGCAGCGATTGATTCAGTTGCTAAAGATGATATTCAAATCTTTAATCAAGTTCCAGCCAAATCGGGGGTGTAGCAGGCATGTGGGTGATTCAAAAGAGCAGATGATTCAAGTTTGTGGTGGGTACAACCAGATGCACTGAGCTCGAGACCCACGCTCTTCCCATGTCCCTCTCTTGGGGGTGATGGCAGCCAGAAATTGTCCCCCTCCAGTGCAGACTCGTAGCTGGCGGGGTCGGAGAGGGGACTGTCAAGGAAGTAAAAGAAAACAGAAAGGAGGGTGCGCCTGGGTGGCTCAGTCGGTTAAGTGTCTGCCTTTGGATCAGGTCATGATCTCAGCGTCCTGGGATTGAGCCCTGCCTTAGCTCCCTGCTCAGCAGGGAGTCTGGTGGTCCCTCTCCCTCTGCTCCTCCCCCCACTCATTCTCTCTCTCTCTCTCTCTCTCAAATAAATAAACTCTTAAAAAAAAGACAGAAAGCAGAAGGGGAGCCCCACCTCCCCTCTCTGTCCCCAGGAAACCTCCCCACATGGGGCACTTTGCTGTTTTGTGTGCCCATCACTTCCAGTTTCATCTTTGAGGTTCAAGAAGTGGCCTTAGAACACATCTTCATGACCCCGAGGAAGAATTACAGAGGTTACGATGCCAGATGACTATTCCACAGAATGGGACTCGGTCATGGGGAAGGTGAGCTCCACATCCTGGGTGTGTTATTGTGGTAGAAGACACAGAACATAAACTTGCCATCTTAACCATTTTTAAGAGTCCAGTTCAGGGGTATTATGTACGTTCATGTGGTTATGCAACCATCGCCACCATCCATCACCTGCCACCACACCATTCTACTTCCTGTCCCTGGGAATGTCACTCCTCTAGGGATCTCACGGAAGTGGAATCCTACAATATTTGTCCTCTTGTGATTGGCTTATCTCACTGAGCATAATGTCCTCCAGGTTGTAAGCATGGGTCAGAATCTCCTTTCTTTTTAAGGTGGCATCATCTGTGCATCACGATTGTACGGTACACCACGTTTGATTTATTCATTCCCCTATCGATGGACACTTCGGTTACTCCCACCTTTTATCTCTTGTGAATAATGTTGCATGAACATGGGCGTATGCGTCTCTCTTCAAGTCTCTGTTTAGTTCTTTTAGGTATATATACGGAAATGAAATTGCTGGATCATCTGCTAATTCTGTGTTTAATTTTTTTGAGGAATTTCCATACTGTTTTCCACCACAGCTGAACCATTTCACATTCTCATCAGCAATGCACAAGGGTATTAGTTTCTCTACAACTTTGCCAACATTTGTTATTTTCTCTCTCTCTCTTTCTGAATAACTAACCCCCCGGGGTGGGAGGCGGTGGCATTTACTTCTTGAGTCTTGGTGTTTAAGGAGCAGGACCAGCCTGCAGAAGTCACCGGAAGCTCTTGGGGCAGGTAGTTTAGAAGGGCCCCCGAGGCCAGGGCGGGTTTGGAAGGAAAAAGCATTGCCTGTTTCTAGGAGTGTTTCACATCTGAGTTTTGGGCACAGGAACTGCTATGGGGTCACGTGCAGGCTTGGGAGGCGGCACATGATGGGTAGGGGGCTTCCTGCCTCCCAGTTTTGGCTGCTGAGGCTTGACGTGGTAGAGAACATCTCTCATTCATTCATACAGCCCTTCTGTTAATCCTTATTGAGCACCTACTGTGTGCTGGGCATTGTTCAGGGCTCTGGGGACACAGCAGCGCACAAAACAAGATCCTTGCCCTGTGTTACTGACGCTTAAGTGGGGACATGGACAAGAAACTGCTAAGTAATTATTAGTGTCAGATGTGATGAATGCTATGAAGGGAAACAAGGCAGGGTAAGGGCACAGAGAGTAAGGGTTTGTTTACTCGAAGGTGCTATTTGTCACCTATTGTCACCACACAATGGGATGATCTGTCCTAGACCCTTTGGGGGAGGGTCATGTGATGAGTTCTGCCTAATGAGCTGTGAGAAGTCATGCGTGTTATTTCTGGGCCAAATTATTTCATTGCCAGCACAGGGCTCTCAAGAGCACTCTTTCCTCCCGCCATGATAGTGGAACCACCCGGATGGTGGCTGCTCCATCAGCCCGAGTCCTTGAGTGATTTCAAGAAATGGGGTTCCCCTGCCAAGCTGTGAGGGGCATGTAGTGTGAGTGAGAAATGAACTGCTGAGTTTGAGGGGTCCTTTGTTATGCAGCATCCCTGAACCCAGCCTGACTGATACAGGGGCTGTGGCTAACTTGGAAGGAGGGGTCAGGGCAGGTCTTCCCAAGGAGGGACATTTGAATAGACACCTGAATGAAGTGAGTGAGGGAGCTGTGCAGATATTTGAGGGAACAGCATTCCAGAAAGAGGGAACAGCCTGTAGAAAGGCCTCGAGGCTGGAGCCTGCTAAGTGTGTTTGAGGAACAGTGAGGGGACCAGTGTGGCTGGAGCTGAGGGAATAAGAGGGAGAGTGGGTGCAGATGAGGGCCCAGGGGTGACTGGGCAGATCATGCCAGGCCTCGGGGGCCATGGTGAGGCATTCAGCTTTTACCCCAAGTAAGATGAGAGCCACGGAGGGTTCTCAGCCACGACGGGCTGGGGTAAGGGAGGCATTCAGCACAAGCCCCAGAATAGCATGACTGCTCTGGACAGTAGCCATGGTGACCATGATTTCTATTGGGGTTTTTTTATTATTATTATTTTGACATCTGAAAGGGAGTCTTCAAGTGATTATTCTCCTCTCTGCAGCTAAAGTGCTGTTGGGTGTAGAACTACCCAGATTTTTCTGGTTACTGCTACCCTGGGAGCTGCTGTAAATCCAACGGGACCGCAGCCTGCGACGGGTGTGACGTGTCCACAGACATCATCCACCAGGGGTAACTCGAGACCTTGTTGGGGGTCACCTATGTACACCCTAAGGGTGGGTGACTTTTAGAAAAACTGTGTATTTGCCAGAACCCCAGCGAGAGTGGTCAAGGGCAAAAGAAAGCAACTGTCATTGGGTGTTCAGCTCATTTTGGCTACACAGCCTTGAGGGATTAGGGTTCCCATCCTCATTTCTTATATGGGGAAACTGAGGTTCAGGGAGGGGACTGTTCAAGGTCAGTTCAAGTGGCTGTGGTGGAGCTGGGTTTGGCCTGAGTCCATTCCCTGGGCTACGTTGCCTACCTTACAGAGGGCTTACAATATAGCAGTAATGATGAACAATGATCATTCTAGGAGAGTGCCAGCTCCCCACGGGGCCGGGCACTCACTCTGTGAATTCCATCCCCATCCCATGCCATGATGAGGTGGGGAGTGCTTTTCTCCCATTTTATAGATGAGGAGACTGAGGCACAGAAAGTTGCCCAGCACTTACTCACCACCTGACAGTGTTATTGCTGTATTGATTACCTGTGTTCACCACTCAGATGTTGGCCCCACCAAGGCAGGAATTATGTCTGTTTTGTACATCGCTGGGTTCCCAGTGCTTAGCTCACAGTAGACACTTAAAATCACTGCATAGTGAGTAAAGGGGGCACTGAATCCTGTCAGGAGCAAGCTCAAGGCAACTCAAGCTTCTGGAAGCAAGAATTGCCAGGGGCCTAGAAAGGGGAGCATCTCCGTGACTGCAGGAGGGGAAGTGGGTAGCTACTCTACCCACACATTGTGTCTGGTCTCTTAATTTCTCTGAACCTGTTTCTTCACCTACAAAACAGAAAAAAGAATAGTACCCACCTTTTGAGGTTACAGTGAAAAATAAGTGTGAGAAAACACATGTAAACGGCTGAGAAGGTGCTGGATACATGTTAGCCCTTCTGTTCACATGTAAAGAGCACCCAGAAATAACTAACAGTTACTGAATCCTGGCTGTCAGGCTGCTGTTATGTACTTCATGTAGATTTTTTCTCTTAATCCTCACAAAAACTTGGGTGGCAGATCCAGTTGGTCCCATTTACAGCTGGGAAAACTGAGGCACAGAGTGGTGTGCGACTTCTCAGGGTCACACAACTAGCAAAATAACTTGGGACATCTGGTCATACTCCTATTCACCACACTTGGAGGTCACTACAGAGAGATACTGGGGAGTACGTGGTATGTTCTGGGTGAGGTGAGGGAATGAGGAGGCCAGGGAAGATGCTGGGATAGGGGAAGCAGTCAAATGAGGAGTCAAGGTCCTTGTGGCTTTGTCCCCTTCTCCCTGAATCTGAGAGGAATGTCATTGGCCCAAGGGGTGGGGCCGATGGGAACTTGGAGTCCAGAAGCCCTTAACGAGGTCCTTTGGTTTGATATTTGTATCCTCAGGGCTGTTTCCCCAAGCTCTTGAAAATAACCAAGACTCAGAGCTTCAACTTGAGTGGGGGCTCACTTGGGGCAGCAGTGATACAGGTAAGGTCTAGGCCCTTTGGAACACACTGCTCTTTCAGAGCACCTACTGTGTACCAAGCACTGTTCTGGGCACTGGGGATCCCTGCTATGGTGGAGCTGACATTCAAGTGGGGGTGGGGGATGGATGATCATTTCAGTTAGAGACCCCTTCTGGTAAGGGAGTAAAGCAGGGTGACAGGATCGGGAAGGGAACCAGGGATGACTTCCCTGAGGAGGTGACATTTGGCCAGTGACCCGAGGAGATGAGGGATAACCATGTGTGTGTATGGGAGAATCCAGAGGAAATAGCTGGTGCAAAGGCCATGAGGTAGCAATAGGCTTGGCTTATTCCCAGACCAGCGGGGAGGCCAGTGTGGCTGGAGCAGGGTGAATGAGAAGAGGGGTAGGGAGAGCTGAGGGCAGGGAACTGATGGGGTAGATCATACAAGACCTTGAAGGCTGCAGAGAGGGGTTTGACCTTTATTCTGAGGATGATGGAAAGCCATTAGAAGAGTTTTAATGTTCACTTTTTCAGTCCACAAAACTTACTGAGCACCTCTTTGCACCAGGCATTGTTGTAGGCACTGTGGATACAACAATGAACTCCACAGGCAAAAATCTCTGCCCTCGTGGGCATTCTAATCAGCAGCGGAAGACAAGAAATATGATTTTTTCAATTGGACAATTTATTGTATGGTAGTGATAAGTGCGTGTTTTTTGTTTGTTTGTTTGTTTGTATTTTTTTTAATTTTTGAGAGAGTTAGAGAGAGAGCATGAGCAGGGGGGGAGAGGAAGAACCCCAAGCAGACTTTGCGCTGAGTGCAGAGCCCAATGTGGGGCTCGATCCCAGGACTGAATTTTCTTTTCCTACCTCATTTAAAAGACAACTGCATAAGGCAATACCTATAAAACTGTGTTTACAGACTGATATTAAGACGTAATTCACATGACGAGGGAACATCAAGGTGCCATTACCAAAAGAATGAGAATGGATATGGGCTAGGCAAAAACAACATCTGTCCACCACACTTAAGATATTAGGACTATGCTCACATTATAGAATGTTTCTGCTTGGTTCCTGTTTTAGCCTTAATATGTCAATATTTTCACAGAATTATGATGAATTATGACAAATTGAAATCACGTCTGGGTGAGATTCATGATAGCAAAATGCATCTAGAGCAGGATTTGAAGAAACAAGCTTTGTGGACAACCGGGAAATAGATAAAAAAAATGAACAGTATCAAACCTGACCTGATCCAGCTGCGCAAGATCCGAGATCAGCACCTTGTATGGCTCAATCACAAAGGAGTGAGACAGAAGCGCCTAAATGCCTGGCTGGGAATCAAGAATGAGGATGCTGATGAGACCTATTTTATCAATGAGGAAGATGAAAACCTGCCCCATTATGATGAGAAAACCTGGTTTGTTGAGGATATCAATCGAGTACAAGCAGAGGACTTGCTTTATGGGAAACCTGATGGTGCATTTTTAATTCGTGAGAGTAGCGAGAAAGGATGTTATGCTTGCTCTGTAGTGTAAGTCTTCTCTGGCGGTTTAACCTTTTGAAAATTTCTGCATTGATTAATAGAAACTCAACCCCTCATAAAATTCAAATAATTAAAAAATTATTTGAAGTACAGTAATGAGGGACCCATGGTTTAGACCTTTAATATTTGTATAAAGAAAACAGCTGCTTAAAAAAAAAAAAAGACGTAATTCACATGACAATAGTAGCACAAAGGAGGGTGGAAAGAAAAGAGATATATAGGAGTAGAGTTTTTGTATGCTACTGAAATTCATTTAGTGTTAATCCAAACTAGGTTGTAAACAGTTAAGATGTTAATTGTAATCCCAAGCGCAATCACTAAGAAAAGAACTTTAAAATACAGCAAAAGAAACAAGGGAATTAAAATGCTGCACTAGAAAATATTTAACACAAAAGAAAGTTGAGGTGAGCAAATAGAACAAGGACAAAACACAAATGGAAAACAAATAGCGAAATGGCATATAGAAATCTTACCTTCTCAGTAGTAACATTAAAGATAAAGGGATTACACCACTTAACGGTACACTTTAGAAAGGTGAAGTGTATGATATATGAATTTTCTCAGTAAAGCTCTTATTTTGTAAAAAAAAAAAAAAAAAAAAAAGCCTCCATCCCTCTGGACCCCCATGAAGTTTTTTTTTTCACTCAGGCACTTCCCTCAGATTGATTTTCAAGATGCAGTAGTGTTCTTCTGCAGATCACTGCCAGTTGAGAGATGAATGAATCTCATCCACCTGACCTGTATTTTTTTTATTTTTTTATTTGAGAGAGAGAATGAGAGAGAGAAAGCACATGAGAGGGGGGAGGATCAGAGGGAGAAGCAGACTCCCTGCTGAGCAGGGAGCCCGATGCGGGACTCGATCCAGGGACTCCAGGATCATGACCTGAGCCGAAGGCAGTCGCTTAACCAACTGAGCCACCCAGGCGCCCCATCTGACCTGTATTTTAAAAATGGGTATTTTTGGGTGCCTCAGATGGTTAAGCGTCTGCCTTCGGCTCAGGTCATGATCCCAGGGTCTTGGGACTGAGTCCCCATCGGGCTGCCTGCTCAGGGGGAGCCTGCTTCTCCCTCTCCCTCTCTCTGTCTCTTATGAATAAATAAATAAAATCTTTAAAAAATAATAAATAAAAAAATAAAAATCGGGTTTTTTTTCATTGTACAAATTTATATCGAATATATGTTTGCAAACTATACCACACCCTCTTCCCCAAGGAGGTCATAATAGTCAAGATCCCAGCAGGAAACAGAATGCAGCCCCCAGGTGGTCCTTTTAAGAAGTTTTCAGGGGCTTCCTTGCTGAGGTGTGGGCAGGGTTAAGAAAAACGGAGGGATGAGGTGCTGAGGGGCTAGCAACACGGGGAGCTTTTACTTCTGGGCCTGAAGGGGTGGGGAAAGCAAGAACCAAGGAAGAGGGGCCATCTGCCCACAGCTGCAGTCTTGAAGAGCTCAGGGTGGGCCGGAGAGAGGAGGCAGTGGGGAAGAAATACTCCAACTTTTCCTCCAGCCTTCCCATCTCCTGCAGGTAGGTGTCTCCTATTGGGCGGTTGCGGTTCCGTAACCGGAAGTGAAAGGGCAGGAGGTTCTGGGAAGTGTAGTTCGCAGGACCCAGGGTAGGGCAGAAAGAGGGTGGAGATAAGATCTGTAGGAAACAAAGGGAAAATGACCCAGGTGCATCACAAAAGGCCTCCATCTTCTGCTCACGACTGAGACTGATTGTGGAAACAGGTTCAAAGCAGCTCCACACTGACCATCCGGGGCCTTCCGCTCTCTGTAAAATCCTGCCCTTCGCCTTTCAGGAAGAAGATACTCCTCTCCCCCTGTCAGTGTATCCAATTTGCTTTGGGTTCCAGAGGTCCCTGAAGTTTGTTCAATATTTCTTTCTTCTCCCTTTTCAGCTGCCAGGAATTCTTGCCACTTTGCTGCTATTCATCAAAGGAGGCAGATGGAGCTGGGGGGGGAGGACAGGACATCTGGTCCACCTGG